CCTCCACGTCGAGAGGAGCCAGTTGAGGTGGCTCGGGCATCTGGTAAGTATGCCTCCTGGACGCCTCCCTGGTGAGGAAGACCCAGGATACACTGGAGGGACTTTGTTTCTTGGCAGGCCTGGGAACACCTTGGAGTTCCCCCGGAGGAGCTGGAAGAAGTGGCTGGGGAGAGGGAGGTCTGGGCCTCCCTTCTGAAGCTGCTGCCCCTGCGACCCGACCCCGGATAGGCAGAAGAAAATGGATGGATGGATGGATGGATGGATGGATGGATGGATGGATGGATGGATGGATGGATGGATGGATGGATGGATGGTACTTTAAGAACTAGTTTTACTACACTGTACTTTTCACTTTGAATAATATCATGGTGTGAATGGGTGAATGTCTGAAGTGTAAAGCACCTTGGTGTCCAAGTAGATTTGATGAGGCGCTATATAAGTTCAAGCCATTTACCATCTAATATTATTATGAAGTATTTCTATCTTGAATAAAACTTCTGAATACTCTACCCACTGTGAGTAACTTCACTGAATGAAGAACACGTTTTAAGCAGAAAGGAACCACAGACACACCTACAGTTTATGTGAAAATGAGTCCTCGTTTATTGTTTGTATTCTACCCACCTCTGTACCGTACATACCTCATACTGATTAGGACGTCTCCATTCCTGAATATGAAAAGAAGAATGTTGTCCTGTGTGACGTCATGAAAGTTTGCATTTTTTTCATTAGCAAAAAAAAGATCTGGTTTCCACAAACACTGGAACATGTTGGGATCAACAGTCAGGGCATCACTTTTAAAATCGGTGGGAAGACGCAGACGAGGATCGTTCCATCTCTGACGAAGGAAGATATTAACTCTGTAGTCCTGTGTAGACAAAACATTTATTAATCATTTTTATCAGTTTTAACTTTTAATTTAGTGCTGTGTGGCATTCATAATAAACTGGTTTAATGTTGTTTTTTATTCCATCAATCTTGACATAGGAGGATATGGCTATAAGATTAAAGCAACACAGAGATAAATCAGTCATCTGTCAGAACAACAGTAGTATATTTGTATTATTTATTTCACATTTAGTCAGTTACAAGTATTTTTCAGTGTTTATAAAAGGATGTGTTAAAACATGTTTCAATGCAGGAAATACCATGAAGAGCTGTTATTGTTTGTTAGGGGTGCTCAGCTGTAGTAATTAAATGAGGAACATGATGTTTCATGTTAGTCAAAGTTAAACACGAAACATTTATGTGGCCCTCATTGAAAGTGATTTTGGCACCCCTGCTGTAGAGACTGCCAAACAACACCTCAAAGCTCAAGAGACATGCTCAGGAAGCAGAAGGCAAGAGAAAAATCAGGTTATTCTCCACCACACTATCCAGCCTGAACTCACACTATCAGGGGAACAACATAAGAGTAGATACACCCAGAGCTGAGACTGAGCAATACTGGAGAAGCTATGGGAGAAGGCAACACAATTATTAAACCCCATGGCTACAAGATGTAAGATTTCAACACATTGATCRCCCAGAACAAAAAACAGTGCTCATCAAAGTCAGAAATTGACTTCTCCATGAATGTCTATCCAGATGAACCAGCTGCTAATGGAAGGGTCCCACCCAGAGTGGTGGACCCAAGGCAGGACAGTCCTGATCATGAAAGACCCCCAGAAAGGGGCAATCCCATCCAACTGCCATCCAATCACCTGCCTCTTTCCAACATGGAAGCTCCTATCAGGCATCATAGCAGCAGAGTACATGGATCAATACCTGAAACCAGACACACAAACCTGTGCTCTGCATGGCAGACTACAGGAAAGCATCTGGCTCAATACTACACAGATTCAGGAATGCTTGAAACTAWACATCAACATGATACTAAGACATTTCATTGAAAAATCAGTTGGAATACAGAATCTACTCTGAAGGCCAATTTAATGCCAATTGCACAAGTTGGCATTAGATGTGACAAATACCAAGGTGGTGCTCTGTCTCCACTCATTGTGTATAGGCCTGAACCCCCTCAGCCAGGTCTTCACAAAGAGTCACCTCCTCTACATGGATGACAACAAACTGTTTGCCAAGAATGATTGGCTCACTGATCTATCTCACCAGGATATACTGTACATCAAGGATCATGGTATCCAAGAGAAGCAGGTGATCACAACTGAAGGGTTTTTTTTGCCACTTCAGTAGAAAGCAGAGCTGAATATCTGAATATTAGTATCTTAGCTTCTTCATCATCGGTGGCTTTTTTATTATTATTATTTAATAGGAGAAAAAGAAAAATAAAGAAATAGTGAAATGTAATGAGAAAGAGTGAAAGAGAGATTAGAAGATATGTGAAATATATGTTGAGAAAACACAAGACAGCACGCCCGACTTCTTGGCTCCACACCTACAAAACAAAGATAGCAAAACCACAGCAACAAAAATGCACATCTATATAATTATAATGACTATAGCCTTGCTGAAAACCATACCCATATACATTTATAAATTTATACATATACACATAAACATACCCATACCTACATATCCAACACATTCTCACTCCCGAGTCGTCACATATTGACGTTTTTCAAAGGTCCCTTTGCGTCCAGTTTTGACGCATCAGGTACCCCCCTRGCGTCAGTCCTTGCCGCCCGCGGCTTTTCCGGGTTGCGCCACCAGGGGTCTTTGGGTCGGGGGTCTGAGGTTAACATTAGGGATCAGGATAAATGGTTAAGTTTAGGGACTGGGGTCAGGGATAGGATGTCTACAGTGAACATTAGGTAATTTTAGGCTTTGCAACACGTAGTTGCCATGAATTTCCTACATTTTCTAAAAATGGTTAATTTTACGTATCAGGGTTAATGGTTAATTTTAGGTACTAGGGTCTGGGACAGGATGTCTAAAGTGAATAAACGTAATTTCACGCTTTGGAACGGTAGTATTTGTGCATTTTCTACACTTTCAGAAATTACGACAACAGATTCCGCCCCATCCCGTCAAAATATGACGCAAGGGGGGTACCTGATGCGTCAAAATTGGACGCAAAGGGACCTTTGAAAAACGTCAATATGTGACGACTCGGGAGTGAGAATGGGTTGACATATCCAAACACTTTCATTTACATATACACATACATATATACATATACTGTATCTATACATACACATATGCACATACCATTCAGTCAGTGCCCGAACAGAAAACCCAGGATGTAAACACCTGTTTGTATGTGGTTGTGAGCATGCATGTGACCACAGACTCGACCCGCAAAGCCGGAAGCCGACATAAGGGAGACTAGCGCCAAAGACCCCGAGAGGGACCCCAAGTGCGCAGCCCCAGAGACACCCACGCCGTAAGGGCCGCCCACCCACCCCCCAAAGAGGACCAGGAAGAGCCCCACCAGCGACCACACACAGCAACCCCTGGGGCCAGCAGCGACGAACTCACAGGCCCCGCCAGTACCCACCGCGCCAGAATGGATCCAGGCATGGACACAGAGGCCCGGGCCCCCAGGGCGCACCCCCACCCCCAGGCCAAGGCCCGACAGGGCCAGAGGGACCCAAACCCCACCGGGCAGCCACCAGGCCAAGCCGGCACACGCCCAAGCACCCAGCCCCGGACAACGAGAGCCACCAGTGCACCGGCGAGCAAAGGCGCAACCCACTAGAGGACAGCACAGCAGGGGAGTAATGGGCCCTCAAATGATCCCAAAGAAGGGGCTGCCCAAGTCCCAGCCTGACAAAAATACAAGCATACACAAACACAATCACACAGTCCCACCCTCATCCTCTCACCCACTCATTCAAAGACACACAAGATGGATGCCACAATCCACTCACACTCCCCATACGTATTCTATACCCCCCATGTCCAGGATACGCACCCACCCCCTGCAGAGGGCAGCTCAGACCTGAACCCAGGAGGTAGACCCCTTCAATCTGGGGTGGAGAAGAGCAGACAGCCAAGTCCCCGCCCAGGCCGCACCAGTCTGACCTACCAGCCCCCTGCCCCAGCAAAGCCATGCCCTGGACCACTCCCACACCCTACCAATGGCCCGGTGCCCACCCCAAACCGACCACCCTCCAGAATCCGGCAGCCACCCCAGCCAGCGCCAACCACAGCAACCAGGAGCCAGACTCCGGGAGCCCGAACAGCCTCAGGGAAGCCGGAGCGCCAGCCCTGCCTCCGGAGCCCCTCCAAGCCCAATGTCTGCCCACAGCCCAGGGCCCACCAGACGGTCAGCCCCCCCAGGACCCCATCCCCAGATGGCCAATGGGGAACGGGGGAGTGAAAAAAGACCCCGACACACACACCCCCACCCTCAGATGTACTGTTGATGCGTTATGTTCTATAATGCAATTAAAACGGGGAAGAAGATGGGGCAGAGGCCAGCACTATGCCAGTTTCCCCGCCACCCCAACTCTAACCCTAACCCTAAATGTCTAAAAGCAAACAATGTGAGTGGGCACAGGCATCAGTGGCGAGACTGTCCCATCCCGCCCCTTACATGCATAAGTGCCCACTCCCAAGTTCCTATGTGTAAATGTTATGAGGTTATGAGTGAATGTCTAAGGTGTACAGTAAAACTGGAGCCCAGGTGGCCACAGCAAACAGATGTAAAATTGTTGCCACTGTAACACACCTGTGCCCCAAAAACCCTACGTGAGTGCAGTTGAAAAATGAAGTGGGTGGAGGTTTGTGGTGGGGGATGGGGAGAAAAAACTGAGGGAGCAAGAATGCTCCCAGGGGGGCCAGCTCCCCCACTGACCCCAGTAGGCTCCCCCGCTCCCGAGACCCACCCAGGGACTGAGGCCCCCAAGACCTCCTCCTCTGTACAGACCGACAGGCCCGGAAGATGCCAGATCATGGACAGACAGAGCCCGGAGGACTGCCAGAAACCGGGACCAACAGACCCCCCGCCCCAGAGCCGCACAGACCCCCAAGACCCGACCCCCAGCCCCACAGCCAACCGGCAGCCCAAAGAAGCTACCGAACCCCAGCAAGAATGATCTAGCCGAGAGCGCACACCCAGCCGCTGACAGCGCAAGGAGGGACCAAGAGCGAGCCCCCGCCACAACAAAGGGGCCAGGCAGCCGACCCAGCACAGCCCGCCGCCGCACCACGGCCATCCACCCAGCCCCACCCCAGAAGAAATACTTTACCTACCCCATCATTCAGACAACTCAAAGTACATATAGCACGCTAGACACCCAGGCTGGGCTGGCCTACCCCCTCCCACGGGCCACCGGCCCCGTCCCCAGCCAACCCAACCCCCTAGCTTTGGACCCGCAGCCCACCAGCTCACCAAAAGGCCCCCCGCCCAGAGCCGGGCACCAGGGCACAAACTGGTCCAGAGCCCAGCAATCCACCCACCAGGCCTCAAGCCCCCCGACCCCACCAGGACCACAGCCCAGGTGCGGCACGACCCCAGAACCCCAAACTCCCCYCGCCAACCCCGAACCCACCCCAGCACAGTCAGGCCACCGGGTCAGCAACCCATGACCGCCGCCACAGACCACCTAAGAGACACCAGAAGATATCCCCCAGACCCCCCAGGGTCCCCCCAGGGTGAGAGCTGAAGGGGTTAACTACCTGAAGATAGCATTGCAGATGTCCAGGATAGTTACAAATACCTTAGAATCCCACAGGCTAATAACAATGATGATAGGGCTGCAAGAAAAGTCAGCCACAACCAACTCCCTACATTGAATAAGGCAGGTCTTGAAGAGCCAGCTGAATCGTAAGAACAAACCCTGAGCCATCAACACATATGCAGTGCCAGTCATCAGATACCATATGGATAAAAGTCTGGCTAAAGGAGGAGATAGAAGCCACTGACATCAACATTCAGTAGCTCCTCACATATGGAGGGGTTCTTCTCAAGTCCAGCACCCTGAGACTTGACACTAAGAAAGAGGAGGTAGAGGACTGTTGTGCGTCTTTCTAAAAGCTTCAATAAAAGTAATTCATGAGAATCACTAAAGAGACAATTAACAGACAGACATTTTATTTATGGAGACAGAACACAGAAGAAAAAACAAAAGTCACCATGGTTGTTTCCTGGATGGACCCAAAGCTGTTAATGAAGATGTTCACTCTCGACTCAACTGGGATACCTGAAACAAAAATAACCACATAAAGCTGTATAACTAAAGATTCAAATCAAACAAAAATCAWTGGGTTGACATTTACAACCTGATCCAAGATGGCTGCCAAAGCCAACTGACTTTAGAAACACAGAAATGGTTCTCTGGCTGTGAAGGTATTTTGAATTAAGGGCTCGACACACGGGAGGCGACGTTGCTCACTCTCCATTCATTTCCTATGGAGCCTGTGCGGTGAGGCAACAATCCCTTGCCC